AAGATTATTCGTTGTCAGACAGTTATGTTCGCTATACGATTATTAAGCACCAAACGTACAAGGCCTTATCAAAAAAAAAACCTTTAATATCTGATGAAAATAAATTAAAACGTATTAATTATTACTTCATTGTAGTGATCCTGTTCAATCCTCAAATCGTTTCGGAAACGGGTTTTTTTGCCTACAGCTGTTGATGGTCCTTTCAAATATATTTTGTTTAATTAATCCTTTAATGGGTATGTGTATTGTTAATGCAAGGTTAAAAATATATATATATTTATTAGTTTAGATCAAAATGATGATCCCAACCATTTTTTTCTTGCTCTCGGAACAATGCCTTTTTCTTTCGATCAATTTTTGAATAAACATCTATCTTGATACAAACAAATAAATTTAGTTTTTTATATCGACCTCGTAGTAAGAATTCCAATACTCATCGATAAAACGTGCAATTGGTGCCAATGAGGTCATTAAAATTAATACGAATTTTCACAAAACCTTTAATGCAAGCAAATAAATATTCTGTTTTCTTATTCCGCATAGGTATACATAAACATACGTATACCTCCATTCATATCTTCGTATTCGTATCTTCGTAGAACACTCCAATGATTTGCCTTTGAGTCCCCTTAAGTTTTCCTTATTAAATAGATTTATAAGCACACAACCACATCACCACCTAAAAAGCAATAATAAATCCATCTGTTCAAAAGGATTCTAAAATTCCTAGGACATTTCAACATCTTTAAAAATGTTGACAACACATCTCGTACTTCTGTTTAATCTCAAATTGAGACAATCTCCGGCAACACGACAGACTGACTGACTAACTGAAATGAAGAGGAAAAATAAACAATTTAGAAAACAATTAGTGCAGATTGTGACATGTTTATTAAAATGGCAAACGATACGAAATGACGACAATGAAGACCACAAATGGATAAAACGTTTGAAAAGTATTGTGCTGTTGTGTAAATCTTTCAATACTGACTTCATGCTCCTTATAAGAAGCCTTAAATTATTACTATTGTTGCTGTTGTCGTTCTATTGGTGTTTTAAAGTCATCATTTGTGAATGAAAATGGCACACAAAAGTGATTTACAATTTTTCATTAGACTACTACTGCGACTGACATCTACTTTCACACACACATCAAGTGATGAAGAAATATACATATATAATCAGATACAAGTATATGTTTCGGAAGTCCTAATAGATATTAGAATGGGTAACTTTCAATTAGAAAAGAGAAAAAGAATATTTAATAGGCGTGGATTTATTTGAGGGACTATGGATACCAACGGCGTGAATTTTTTAAAGAATTTATTTGAGGGACTATGAATACCAAAGGCGTGGATTTTTTAAAGAATTTTTTTGATGGACTTTGAATACCAAAGGCGTGGATTTTTTAAAGAATTTTTTTGATGGACTTTGAATACCAAAGGCGTGGATTTTTTAAAGAATTTTTTTGATGGACTTTGAATACCAAAGGCGTGGATTTTTTAAAGAATTTTTTTGATGGACTTTGAATACCAAAGGCGTGGATTTTTTAAAGAATTTTTTTGATGGACTTTGAATACCAAAGGCGTGGATTTTTTAAAGAATTTTTTTGATGGACTTTGAATACCAAAGGCGTGGATTTTTTAAAGAATTTTTTTGATGGACTTTGAATACCAAAGGCGTGGATTTTTTAAAGAATTTTTTTGATGGACTTTGAATACCAAAGGCGTGGATTTTTTAAAGAATTTTTTTTGATGGACTTTGAATACCAAAGGCGTGGATTTTTTAAAGAATTTTTTTGATGGACTTTAAATACCAAAGGCGTGGATTTTTTAAAGAATTTTTTTGATGGACTTTGAATACCAAAGGCGTGGATTTTTTAAAGAATTTTTTTGATGGACTTTGAATACCAAAGGCGTGGATTTTTTAAAGAATTTTTTTGATGGACTTTGAATACCAAAGGCGTGGATTTTTTAAAGAATTTTTTTGATGGACTTTGAATACCAAAGGCGTGGATTTTTTAAAGAATTTTTTTGATGGACTTTGAATACCAAAGGCGTGGATTTTTTAAAGAATTTTTTTGATGGACTTTGAATACCAAAGGCGTGGATTTTTTAAAGAATTTATTTCAAATTTTAAAAAACCATCTTAAAACCCATCTTAATATTTAAGAGTATATTTTTACAATCATATATAATTATATATGTTTGTGTGTATGTGTTTGATATTTCCCTAAACAAATATATTAACAAAATAACGGAAATTGTTATTTTCCACATAAGTCAACAATACAACTTTAGTCGTCGTCTTATATGTATGTTTGTATGTCTGTTGTGTAGGTAGTGTTACTATTGTCGTTTCCGCCATTGCCACTTTGCCATTGTGCCATTTAAAGGCGTTATTTGTTGTCACATTCAGATGGCATTCCTGTTTGGAATATCTTCAGCAAAAGGATGTTTATCAGTGTGTGTGTGTGTGTGGTTTTGCTCACATATTTCATGTGAGAACGTGTGTATGCGCGTGTACAAATGCTTTTGTATGGAAATTTCACACAATCACATTCATAAGTATGTCCTTAATGAACTTAATCGTCGCCGTCGTCCTATGAATTTATTGCTCCCGATTTGCGAAACTGTCAACGCTTTTATTGTGCGAACAAAAAAACTGATTGTTGTCCTCCTTTTTGTCATTGTTATTGTTGTGGTTGAAATGGCTTTTGATTGTTCATTTGAGATTAAAGAAAAGGGATACAAATAATTCCATCAACCATGCATACATATTTTAAACGATTTGTTTACGAAAAGGTGCGTGGTGGAGATTAACTTTGATGTATGCTTTTCAAATTTAATTTGTTTATTTGACAATTTAAATTAGATCGCAATTATATATATTATTTTAGGATTTTGTTAGAGGGTCACACCGCAAATAATAAATTTTATATTGGGGTTAATAGAGGGGAAGGGAAATATCCTCTTAAACACATTGTTAGCGAATGTGTATGTTTATGAATTGGCTCTGGATAATTAAATAATTCAAAACAAGAGCAATTGTCTTATATAATATTGTTAGACTCATTGTGCTTGACTCCCTAGATTCCATCCATTTCAGGCGCATAGTGATTGTCCTGCGTACATAACCCTCGAATCCCACAGATTTATGGTCCCCAAGAAAACCTTAAAAACATCCAGATATTAATCCATATTGAATATGGTTCCAATCGAAACTTACCTAATAAAATACCTTAAATATACCTATGAAGATCTTAGGTCAATTCATGTGTCCCAACACATGTCCATCATCATCGAAGCACAGATGAATGCTCCTCAAATTTACCCTGTCAATAACATAGGTTTCCTCAATCCTTGATAAATTCCCTCGTTGTAATCTGTTATATTTTCCAAAGTCGAAACATGTTCGCACTATATATCCAGACATGTATCTATATTGAATATGGGTTCAATATCCTTATGGGGATGTTGAACGTCACAGATTTGTTGTCTTGAAGTAGACACAAGACTTAAAAAATCACCTCTTTACACTGTATTTTACTATTCCAAGCTCGAAGAATTTTCTGAATATGTATCCAATAGGTTTATTGGTCTATAACCGTCTATTCTCACAGATGTATGTTCCTCAAGAAAACCCTGTATAGAATGTTCCTTATATACTCTGAGATAGATTCATATTTATTATGGGTCCAATAGGTTTTGTGTGTTTAACAATATCGAATCTCACAGATTTATGTCCCTCTCAAGAACTTAGTTTACCTCGAGACTTAAGAAATCCTCTCATTATCTTCTGTTTTATTTTTTCCAACTCCTCGATTTTTTGGAAAAATATATCCATGTTGAATAATTGTCTCATGGATCTATACACCTTTCATGTATTTCGAAAATGTTCACTTTGTTGGCCTTTAAGCCTCATTTTCTCTCTTTTAGCCTCCCCCTATAACTGTTGGCGACAACCATTTCATGTGAAATTTGCAATTTGTGTGTCCTTAACATGTAAAAATGCTCGACCACTGAGAAGAAATGGCAAACGGACGTATTTTGTGCAACCACAAAAAGGACACAGGATAAGGACATAAAACCACATGCCACCAAAATAAATGTCATGCAGCGAAACTGCAATGAATGAATTGGCTAATATGCTACGTATGTTGGCAGGACATAAAAGGGCTATTACAATAGTAATAATAATAATTACAAAGGGAATGATCGAAGTTGGTGCTACCAGTTTTGGAACTCTAGGAAAGTATTGAATGAATCTTTTCTATACGCTCCACTTGAAGATAATTATTCAAAATACAAAAATTCGATCTAATTTGCTAATACGTTGCTTATGCTAAGAAATAATAAATACTGAACTGCAGACTCTCAGGTTGGACAACGGGGTTAGGAAATCCAACATACCAAAATTCATCGGGAACAGGGAACAAGTATTTTATTCACCAGGAATCTGGAATTCATTTCATAGAAAAATAAGGGCTTTATAAAGACGTGGATCTATATTAAAAAATATTTTGCATAGATCCCGGAGTGCCAGATTACTGACACTACGGTAAAAATATGGATCTATATCGAATATATTCTGCAAGAACCCTGAAACTTTCGAAACATCGAAAATAGGGTGGAACACTTAAAATGGGATTATTTCACAAAGGGGGTCTATATCGAAATTTTCTTCAAATATCATTGCATTGTTCAACCTTCAAAATCCCGGAATGTCCATTTACAACTTATTTGGTTGGAAAATGTGGCTATGACCTTAAATTATCCGAAATTCGAAAGGAAAAGATCATCAAAATACCGAAAACCGGAGGATATGAAGTCTATACTATATCGATAACTTAAAGTAAGCACATAAAGGCCTTCAATGGGATTGGGAACCTTTGGAATTGTCTATTTTATTTTTCTTAATAATATTCTCAAAATGTCAATCAATTTCCAAATTATTTTGTTGTTTATTTGTCTAATAATTTCCGTGAACTCCTATCACAGTTCCAACGCAACTAAAACCCGTCTCAGAGAAAATCGTATAACCGGCGGTTACCGACCCCGCTCACATAGTTTGGCTAAATATGCTGTTTCAATAAGAAAACGAAATCGTTACAATTTCATATTAAATACCTATTTCGGTACGGGACACATGTGTGGTGGTTCAATTTTAAGTTCAAAATTAATTTTAACAGCGGCTCATTGTTTAAAAACGTGGGTAATATTTTGCAATAGCTGAAATGTCTCCTCTGTATATATAATTTTTTTTTTAATTCATCCCAGGCATAAGAAAACAACACGTTCATCGGGTCTTGAAGTTGTAGCCAAAACCCCAGAACGTTTGCACAAAACATCCGAAACGCAAATTTTACGTGTTAGGGAAGTTATAACACATCCAAAATATAGTTCTCAGCATTTTCACAATGATATTGGTCTATTGAAATTGGAGGATGAAATCATTTTGGATAATCTATGGGCAGCAGAAATTCAATTGCCCCAAAACCAGCCCATACCTCAAACAGTATGTACTGTTATCGGTTGGGGTAGAATCTACGAGGTAAGGATGGTATTTAATTATGTTTGGTGGTACTAAGTGGTTTAACTAACCTCGCGTCCTTATTTTTCTAGAACGGTCCCTTTCCCAATGAAATTTTATATGCAGACATTAAAATATACAGTAGTTCGGATTGCCAAAATATATTCCCTAATTTTGGTGAAAATAAAATCTGCGCTGGTGATAAACTGGATTCAGAAAAGGATGCTTGCCATGGAGATTCAGGTGGTCCATTGATATGTAATGGTGAGATATTGTTTAACTTATTTATATAAGTTTTTGTACTCTACACCGCACTGTGGCACAAGGCATTACGACTTTGTGCATAAGTTTGTAATATGCAAAAGGAAGTGAGATGGGCCCATCATAGGTACTTTTGGCAATATACATAGAGTCACGTTATATGGTAATTTATACCTGTCCGTCTCTCCATATATTATTGCAACACCGTACAATCAGGATCTATATTATGATCCAGAATATCTATGCTCCATAGAGATTCCGAGGTGATATAAGGAGTCAAGTCGGGGTTTTTGAGGCTAAAATATCTATTGGCAAAAAATATTGTATGCAGAAGGTCTTATCCGAAACCCTGTGTGTCCGCTGACCTTCGAAAAATTAAAAAAAGATATTCTTTAAAAAATCCAAGCCTTGAAAAATATTCATTAAAATATCGATAGGCTTTGATAAAATATTATTTATAAAATCCACGCCTACACAGGCTTTCTTTTTAATATTCATACCTGAAATTTGGCCAAGAACAGTGTACCCGAGTGAGCCTAGAATGACGTGTGTTAGGTTTGTCGAACTCCGTCTAGATTTCATTTCATCTAAATCTAAATTTTGCACAGCGTATCGAATTAAGTCTGCAGTGATATGTGCTAGGTTTCGTTGCAATCGGTACAGATTTTGATAAAGCCTTCATATATATATTTTTGACCGATTCAATTATGCACCATATAGCCAACTTGAGCCTAAGACAAATAAAACCATCGTTATCTTCGGCCGGGATATACCATGGGTCCAATATAGGCATGGATATATAACGAATATTTATTCATTTCATTTTCATCGAAACTGGAATGCAAACATTTCGGTTGAGAAATGCGGCTATATCATTCATAATACCGAAAATGTGGACTGGTAAAAACATGGAGCTATATTCTGCCACCCTTCAAGAGCCCGGAATGCCAAATTGTAGTCACTTCAGTGTGAAAATGCGGATACTACCTTCAAAATCGGAAATGGAGAGGTATCATTGTATGGGATCTATGTCAAAGTATGGTCCTATGTTAAAATTTTCTCTAAATCGAAATGACAAGTTACAGGATACCACCTTTAAAATATGGAAAACAGTTCGGGACTTTTATATGGAGACTATGTCCATTATGAACCTATATCAAAAAATTTATTTAACTATATTACTCACCATCCATAAAATCGGAATGCCAAAGTACTGCCATTTTGTGGGGCAATGCCAAAAAATAGACTTATGTAAAATATATTTTGATATTTCTGACCCTCTAATGCCAGCTTACAGCGACAAATGCCAGATTACAGCGACTTCGATAGATAATGCTGCAAAAAAAATTCAAATTCCCCAAAAAAGAGCTGTACCTAAACGTGGACCGGTATATCCCATATGCAATACCCAAAAATGCAAGAATTAATAGCAATGTGATTTGTAAAATCATTCATATCGAGCTGGGCTGCAGCATACCCAAAGATTTGTGTATAGTTTATTTAAATCGGCCCCAAGTCTGCCCAATTGAAAATAAATTTTGCATAGATTGTCGGACAACCCTTGCATATTGTTATATATATACTTAAATATATATATATATGGCAATTGTCCCTCAAAGATTTTTTGGTAACCTTTATTTAAATCTGTATATATATCGATGTAAGTTATAATAAGAATCTTTGGAACAAATCTTGCATATACCCAATGTAGTGTGGAGTATTATGTAGTCGGCCCCGTCCGACTTTTATCTTATCGTTACTCATTAATTTTATCAATATTTATAGATGCTGTTACTGGCATAGTTTCTTACGGATATGGATGTGCTCACAATGCTCCTACGGTTTACACCGATGTATTCGCTCATTTAGATTGGATAAAGACAAATTGTGGCATACCTGTAAAAACATTTTGTTGTATAAATATTTGTTGTATTTTTATTTTGTTGGCAAATCTAATAATAATAATATGATATTGATAATACTTGTACAGAAAAATATCTTCCACACTTTTTAGATAATAAATTTTAAAAATGCATATTATCTTTCATCCAATCATCCTTTTATCCGAAAATACACACAAGAATTATCACTTGCAAAGATATTTGCTGAAAGATTATTTAAAAGTACTAAATCAATAAAAAATTTACACATTAAATTTACTCCATAATCCTCTCTAAAGACAAGTTATAGACTAAAATGCTGCATTCGCACACGCACACACCCACACAACTGATTTAATCTCGATTAGAAATTATTCGAGCTATTAAAATTTTATAGAATTTGACAATAATTAAATTATGTAAAGTAAACAAAGAGTAGAGATTTTCCAAAGTTTTATCCACTTCTCAGCCAAAGCCCAAGACGACAGACTCTGTCAACAGCAAAATATTATGGCAATTAATATTGCAAACAACTGTCAATCAAATGTAAGGACAACTACAAGCAGTTGCAGTTTTCAGTTCTGCATGCAATATGCAAAATAGGATGTAAAATGGAAGAAAAAAGTAGAACAACAACAAACAGTAGTTTTACCCTACTATAGTAGGTTAGATGCGTTCAATGCATTTGAATATACCTATGTAAAATTGAAAATAAGTATTTTAATCGAAGGATTAAATCATAAGTTTTCAAACCATTTTCAAAGTGATTAACCAGATATAGCAAGTTCAATGAAAAGTCCCCGACCTGTCATATTAAAACACATCGTTCGTTCAGAGACGATACACTCGCTAATCGTTACGATTCTCCAAATTCGACACTGTTTTTGTAGTACGAATGGTCTCTTCACTCGAAATGAAAAAAATATATACTACTATTATGAGGTGAAAGGATGGCAGGTCAATATTTAAATGGGACCAATGGACCAAGATTTTATGTTAGAAATGTCAAAACGTACATATTATGGCATATGTATGCATTTGTTCACTTTGGAGAGTCATGATCCGGAACTGCTGCCAGTATTGTGGTTGACCTTTAACCGGATATCAATTATATTCATGAACCAGTAAGGAAAGTATTAAAGTCAGACTGGGCGACTATATGATACCTTCACCACTTTGGGTATGTACCTACCTAACAATTTTATGTCAATGTTCTCTCGAAGGAATATTGATATGAAATTGAACGAATTTAAACATATAATTTTTATCAAATTTGGTAAATAGGTCGAATTCCGCGAAACCTAACACACATCATTCAGTACACTATGCCAAATTTCGTGCAAATCGAAAGTTATACGGAAATTTGGTACACCGTTTACTTTAAATCGTACGAAAATATATATGAGAGCTATATCTAAATCCTTAGGTCAAACAAATGAGCTGTGTCAAATTTAATCATATTCGGGTCATAAATGGACCACGATCTGCGAATCTGCACTTGGAATGTGCGCACGTTGTACAGAACAGGCGCAGTGTTCGCTTTGTCGGATGTACTCAAGAAGTACAAAGCCGATAATATTGCCTTACAGGAAATGCGATGGAAAGGGACAGGCGTAAGTAAATCAGACGATTACGTCCTGTATTATAGCTGCCATGAAACGAGACATGAATTTGGCTGCGAATATATGGTTAACAGGAGAATAAAAGACCTCGTCTCCAGATTCACTCCAGTAGATGAGCGAATTGCTATAATCCGTATAAAAACGAATTTCTTCTACATCAGTCTCATTTGCGCCCATGCTCCTTTATCTTCGGTCGGAGCATGGGCGCAAATGAGACTGATGTAGAAGAACTTCGTTTTTATACGGATGAACAGACCAAAGACATAGTTTGCGAGCGCCTAGAAACAGCATATGACCGTTGCCCTGGCCATGACATTAAAATCTTGCTAGGAGATTTTAATGCAAAAATCGGAAGGGAAAATATCTTTGGCCCCACAGTCGGAAAATTCAGCCTTCATGAAGAAACATCCGACAACGGCATGAGGCAGATTGACTTCGCGGCAGCAAAAAACATGGTAGTTAGCAGCTCCAGATTCAAGCATCTCGATATACACAAGGCCACCTGGATCTCTACTGATCAAGCAACGAGAAATCAAATTGATCATGTTGTGATAGACGGAAGGCATTCATCCAATGTTTTAGACGTCCGATCGATCCGAGAAGCGACCATTACCTTGTGGCAGCCAAGGTACGCACCCGACTTAATGTAGCAGCAAAGGTGCGATCTAACTGCAAACACAACAGGTAGCCGAGGCCTACTCCGCTCAACTTACCCATCTGCTTGAAGAAAGCACGTCTTGTCCCGATAATAGTATAGAAGCACAAGGGCAAAGAATTGCCCATTCCCTACAAACTGCAGCATAAGAAACACTTGGGTACCAAAAACCACCACCAAGAAACCCATGGTACGATCAGGAGTATCGTAATGCTACTGATGTGAAAAACGCAGCGTATAGGGCAACACTGCAGAGAGTAGCAACATGCAACGTGATGGAGAATTATCGGGAGAACAAGAGAGAGGAGAAGCGTGTTTTCAGAAAAAAGAACAAGAAAAACATGAGCGTGAGCAAATCGAGATGTACAGGAGTCAGAATGAAGTACGGAAATTTTACCAACAGGTAAAACACCAAACCGAAGGCTTTGGTGCAGGCACATCCTCCTGTAGAGATGAAAAAGGAAACAGACAGCGTGACAGATACAGACAGCGTGTTGAGGATCTGGAAGGAGCATTTTGAAAAGCTTCTGGTATCAAATAGTGGCGTTGAAGAAGATACCCCAGAACCAAAAAGAGATGATGGTATAGAGTGTATACCAACTAGCCAAGATGAGGTCATAAAAGCAATTAATCGGTCATAAAAGCAACAAAGCAGCAGGAGCCGATGGATTACCAGCCGAACTATTCAAGACTAGTGGCCAAATGCTGGTCAGGAGCATGCACCAGCTGATTAGTACAATTTGGCTAGATGAATGAATGCCCAATGATGGGAACCTCAGCATCCTGTGTCCCGTGCACAAAAGAGGAATAAGTCTCCTTCCCATCACATATATAGTGTGCTGTGGG